GGCCTAAAATAGCGCGCATCGAAGTGAACATTTTCGACATAGCTTGGCGTTTGAGGTATGTTCTTGACAAGATGCCGGTCACTTCAGTTTGCAAAAAAGCATGCCCCTTGCTATTTTTTTTTTTGCTAAATAGAACACAATAGTATTTCATAGTCCACTTGGCATTACAGTTACTTAATTGGTCACTTTCTGGCGGTCTGCGTGTGCAATCGTCAGAGTTCCGCGAAGCGCCAATGTGTACTTTGTTTTCATCCAGCCCACAGACACATAAAATTGTTGGTCATCAAATAAAAAAAGCAATAAACTTTTACGTGTATGAAAAGTTAAATATGTGTGAGGAAAACATGTTATTTAAATCAGCTTCACAAAAAAAAATTGAAGTTTCTCTCAAATAATCGACACACGAGCCTTTCGAGGATAAAAGCGCCAAAAAATATTTGCAGAGCATATTTAAAGGAGCTGTGCAACGATATTCAATTGGAATGTTTTTCTCTCTACACTAGCTTACTGGCACACCTCGGACTCAAGGATACTCACACGCAACACCATTGGCCAAGAAACTCCTTTGTTGTGGTGTAATTTCAAGGACAAAAGCGATCATTTTCATTCAATCTCTCCTTTGCAAAATTTGATGACGTAACTCGGGGATCGCAGTACACCCAAGTGACGATATTTGAATGCGGTTCACAGATTGGACCCGAGCATTGCGTGGGCACTCGACTTGGGCTCGTGACAATTGCTAGCTCGAGAAGCATTCGGGTTGTGACTAGGGCTGGGCAAATGATCGATTAACCAACCGATTAATCAATTAATGCTTTAATCGCGATTAAAATTTTTAACTGGTTAATCGGTAAAATTTAGACGAACCAAAAAAAACTCAAAATTAAACACTTCCATAACGCAGACGTGGACGAATACGCCTGTACGAAGGGTGACCTTTAGGTCAAATTTTAGAACAAGGTAAACTGTACAGGGGCGATATTTTTATAGCATCCGATTAAGTACAGAGGTTACGCATGTCCCCGGCCATTTCAACGTAGTTCGAGTGTCTGTTTAGCACAGTAGAGATTATTGTGAACAATGAAAGGAAGCCGCTCTTTCTAGAGAATATCAACGAACATCTTTGCCTAATGCGGCAAAAGTAATATTTAGCGAAAGGATTCTGATACTCTTCTTAACTACATATCGAGATTAATTCATAATCTAAGTTGTACATTGCACCGTTTATCACAGATTCAGCAAAAAAAAAAAGACTTTTTTTAATATTTTGCAATGAAATAAACGAGACCGATTAATCGATTAATTAATCGATTAAAGGGTGGCGATTAATCGGGTTAAAACTTTTAATCGACGCCCAGCCCTAGTTGTGACCCGTGTCCAATCGCTGCAACGACGACAACAGCCGAGCCGTAACAATGTCTGGAACTCAGCGCGTGTCCTGCGCTTTGCCAACCCCTGCGCGTGGCTATGATCAACACTGGCGGCATATAATCGGCTCCAGATCACGTGGCCGCTTGTTCTGGCTGCGAGTTGAGGGGGTGAACGCCGCTCGTTTTTCTTAAATTTTTTCTGGGACTTCTATTGCGTGGGGTGAAAAACGAACGCGTGTTTCATAGGTCATTAACGTTAGGGATCCGATTTAAGCGGTATTTGTGCACAGTACAAAAATTGTTGCATCGCTCCTTTAAGATAATTTGGGGGTGCATTTACATATAATGTATATCTTTAAGGTGATTGGCCCTTTCTTTATTTTTTGTCAAGTCTTCATGCAGTAATAAAATATTTGTTATTGTCATCAATACATTTGACTGTACGAAGTTGACATGACTGCTTGAGACCGACACAGGTGGACGATACTCGAAGATACACCATTTGTTGACTCTGCGGAACCTACTTTTTTGTTCGCTGTTTGGCAGTGTGAAACACCGGGTCGAGGGGTATGCCCAAAACAACTGTGTGCTCGCGTTATAGATCTGAAGGCAAATACACGAAATGTGCAGAAAGAGACATAACAAATGGTATTCTTTTAAGTAATCCCATACACGACTTCTTACTGCAAAAAGAAATATAGACAGTTGCATGTTTTAAACCTCAACACGTTTGACGGAACTCCGTCTAGTTGGGTCAAAAATGTGAGAAATACACCTTCACAAACCAAGTCCTAGGCATTTAGTGACCCGACGTTTCGATAGGTCGGGCTCAATAGAACGACAGCCGCTTAACCATCGGCGTGTGTCAACGGACTAGGGCACTTGAAGAAGGACAAAAAGATTGAAGCGAACGACACACCGTAGTTAGAAAAGGAGCTGCTGCTCTCCACGTGCAAATAGTCACCCCTGATGAAAAAACCAAATCGGTTTTGAAACGTCGGACTCCTTACTGTTCAGGACTTGGGTGGTTATGTTCCGTATTTTTCTAGCAGAGATGCGTGCAATGATGTTCCTAATTACACATAAATATCGAGAAGAACCGACAATATACTTCTAATTTAAATCATATTTAGACATCGGATTGCACGAGCTCCAAACTTCGCAGAACACTGTCTCGGGAGGCTGAAGTTATATTTCGTTTTACGTGTACTTGTTTTGGGGCCTAATTTTACAATTTTGTGCTTTATCAATATGCGTGCTCTAACATTTAAATAGGCTGCCGCATATCATAGCGAAACTGTTATATATACTGCGCAACTTTATAATTTTGACATTCCCTTTCGCTGCACTTCGTTTCAGCTTAAAGGGGCATTGCAAAGGGACGAAGAAAACAAAATAGTGCTTCGAACGGCGGGCCTATCAGTGTCAAACACGAGAGTTCAGTGGCGACATTGGTCTAGAACGTCGGGAAATGGCGAAATAGAATTCTAGAGGCAGGACTGGCTGAATAGGCGCAAGGGACCCCTCTTGATCCTTTCAAACACGTTACACTCATCTAAATATTTGCTTGCAACACACGTAAATTGGTGGGGCGTTCACACAAGTGGATGTTAATTTCCAACACATATGAAGATCGCGCATGGTTGTTGCACGCTCTTGTCGTTTCGGTTTTCTATCGGTTGAGAACAAGGACGTCAGCAACAAAGAAAATGTGCTCAAAATTCTGAACATCTTTCGCCTATTATGCTCAAAATACGCAAGATTTCTTGTTTATTTTATGTTGAATGTGTTGCTAGAGTCCCAGTCACTAGTTCGAGCGAAAGCAATGCAAATTAAAAAAAAAAAAATGACCAGAAACGGTTTTCATGGCCCCTTCAAGTCCAGATGCAGCCGATGCTATACAAGCGCGAGCATGTGGCCCTGACCACTTGCGCTGGAGGAGCGAGCGTGCTTGGACGCTGAAAGCCCGGAGCTCGCTTTTTTAGCTTCTGCTACGCTCACAGTTAAGTGTAACCAAGTACTGCGTTGAGAACATCACATTCAACCAGATAACTGAACTGTTTACATTGTTTGCACGTGAGATCATTGCACCATGTGCTAGTAATCAGAAATTTCTTTTTTTCTGAAAAAAAAAAAAAATCCCGGTGTGCAAAATGCACGCTGCAGAAGGTGCGCACTCAGTGCAACCCGTGTATTCAGAAATAAAAATTATTCTTGCTTGGTGCAGCGTCGTGAGGAACGGCGCGAGCGTGTGGCAACCCCAAAAACGCGCTTTCTGGCAGGAGTGATTTTACAAACGATGTAGTTTTGCAGGATCACGCTGTCTGCTCCGTGCCGAAGATGCGTAGCATGCAGAGGAACCTTTAAAACACAGTAGGTTTTTAACCCCCTCCCCCCTCCCCCTCTCTTTCCTCCCCCCCTTTCCCGCTTCCCCCCCCCCTCTCTTTTCTTCCTCCCCCCCCCCCCCCTTCTGGCTACGTGCCTGGGCCGAGATATTCTCTCTCCTTTTGATAGAGGGCCACAGAGGGGCACTGGCACACGTGCCCTCCTCACATCGTGATATGTAAAATGCCTCCGTTATTTCCCTCGTCCTTTTGTTGCTGTGTCACATCATTATTGCTGTCTGTTCAAACTTAGGGGTGCACCCACACCTGTCGCAATCAATCACCAAATGACCGGCAGGGGACGATCTCACAGATAATGCATGTTCCCTCAGTCTATTGTTGACGCATCTATCAGACTGTCCCATATACTGCTTACCACACGATAGCGATGGGAACGTGGTGCGTGGTGACGTGGGTGTGGTGGATTCTTCGGGTTTTTTCGGGGCCTTCATGTTTTTCTTACTAAACTTCAGATGTAAGTCAGTGCCTTGTCTGTGTGTATACCCTTCTACTGGTCCGTCGTTTTGTTTGCGCTGTTTCTCATTCCGACTATATTGACGTTCTGAACTGAAGTTGAATTGACGCGGTGAGTCACGTGACTACGCCACGGTGCCACGTAACGTGACATCATTTAAGAGCATTTTTTGACGCCATGGCGTCACGTGACCACGTGACACACGATTAATCCTAGTGTCAATAAAAAAGCGCCACGAAAACCCACAATTTCTCATACATTACAATTCGGTATATGACAATTTGATAACAACAAAGAAATACAGCTGCCAATTTTTTACTTCTCGAACACTCATTTTGTAATAAAAAAATAATATTACCGTGAACCGTTTTGAACCGGTTACCGTCATATTGTTTTCGGTTCAGTTCCGGTTCAGTTCCAAGGGGGCGGCGAAGATTTCGGTTCGGTTCGGTTCCGGTTCGACACTCTGGTGGGAACAATGAATACACATTCCTATTGCATGCTGTTTGTCTGATGATGTACGTTCAGCACCATGACGGAAATGCCATTGTGTACGCACATAGCCATTGTGTTCTCGATTAAAAATATCACACACAAAAAAAAGAGACACGTCTGCGTTAAATTTCAACTGCACCCTTGTGGCGATTCCCTGAAAAATTCCGTACACGTATTGTTTTTTTGTACTTTTACATTTTGGTTTGAGATATAAAGAGCCGACGAAGTGCCTTTCTAAAGGTCATAATAACGGCAACTTTACGCCTTTTTGCCAAGATGCGTTGGCAACTATTAATGTTGACCGTCGGCACCGGCGCAATTTTGTGTAAGTAAATATTTTCCATATTGTTCAGTTATTAATCACTGATTGCACGACGTTCCAAAGTAATTACAGGATTTCAAGCTGCCTCCAGATAGTGTGTCTATGGCTTATTACTACACTTCGAGAGTTTTTGACAATATGCGCACATAGAGGTACTAACCATGTTGAATTAACCTGAGACTTGGGTAGAAAAGAAACACCAAAACGTAGAAGTGACAGAAAATAGGCAGGACGATGTCTCAATGAATCGAACATGGTTTATTTTCACCAGCTCGCCTGCACCCTTACCATATTTCCAAAGGAGTACTGTTTGAACGAGGAGATGCGTGAAAACCATTTCTTCCGGTGAAAATAGGCTGCTTTCTGTTAAGACAGATGTCTAAAACAATATTGTCACAAAACTAGCTTAAGTTGTGAAATAAAAACAACATCCAAAAGTTCTGAAAATGAAAAGGGAAGAAGGTAAAGAAAAGAAAACGGTCCAAGCACTGATTCTCAGCCCGCTGACTAAAGTAAAAGAAAAACGTTTTTGTTTATATCTATATTCACTTTTCCTTGGTGGCACGCATAAGAAAGCTCATTGTGGCAGCTACAAGTTCCTCAACAGCGCGTTTTGCAAATTCATATTATATGAATTATAAAATTTCATGACTTCTGCCCCGTCACTAACAATGCTTAAACTGAACTAAACTCCAAGCTGAAATAACCACAAACCAGGGCATGCTGGCGTACAACTCTTTTATTCACGAGCTCAGCGTTTATATATCGCAGACATGACATCATGGTCAAGCGGTTTTTCTGCGATAAGTCCGATACGCTGTCAGCATGCTACAACGTTTCTTCCCCCTTACACAAAATAGTTCCTTTCCTAAAGTCTTTGGGCTTAACACAATTCGGAGGCTTGCATGCACAGAAACTTCGCCTAAGCGGTTGCTTGTCCACTTTGGCAGACGGCTCCACTGCTATTGCAGTCGAGGGCGTTGTCGGGCATTGCTCTTCGGCGGTGGCGGCGGGTTGACCCGGCTCTCGGTCGTTAGGCGTCGGATGAGCCGTGGAATCGGCGCCAAGGAAGAAGAGTTTGGATGGCGCTTCAAAAACATTTCGGCGGGTAACTTCTCAGTCAGTCTGCTCGGTGTGTTGCACTAACACATAAAAACTGTCAAGACAATCCAGAAGTGCACACAGTTTACCGGTTGCTTCACTTCGAACACCTGCTTGAGCAAAAGGCTTGTTCGCAGTTTGCAGAGTGCATTCCGCTGCGCCGTTCAAGGCTGCGTGGTAAGGCGGACTGCGAATGTGCTTCGCACCGCTTACACATAGGAAATCAGCGAACTACGTTGACGTGAACTGCGGTCCGTTGTCGCTCACTCGTACTTCGTGGAAGCTGTAAGCAGCAAGTGCTTACGGCAGCTAAGCTTTTCAATGGTTTTAGCGGTGGGTATAGAGGTCATAACCACACGTTTTGATACATTTAAAAAAAAAATTCGATGAGCACCATACTCACATTTCCACCGTTTGAAGCAAAATATACATGTACACGGGACCAGCATCTGGCAGGATAGTTCCAAGGTTGAAGTGGTACAAGGCGGGCGGCGGGCTGAACTGCCTAACAGATTGGACACTTCTTTGCATGCTGCTCTACAGCCAGGTCAATTCCCGGTCACCATATAATAATACGTGCAAGAATCTTTGTGCGGCTTGCTCTTGGACGTTACTACTGCAGCACGTTCAGCACGCAGGTACCTTCCGTGTTCTCGAATACGCTGGGCACCATAAGGAATTTCGAAGTTCAGGTCTTGTTGAAGTCACGTTTGGTACCTTTGTTTAGCCGTACTAGACCTGTTCCGTTCGATCTACAAGAGCAGGTAGAGAACCATCCAAGCAGTTTGGTAGAAAGGGGATGCTTCGACAAGTAGCACACACCGTAAAATCCCGAGAGATACCCCATTCTCGAAAGGTGACCCACCCCTATTTTTGGCCTGATTTGCTATTTTCTTTTAAACACCTAAAGATAGCCTACTTCTAGTAATCGTACTGTAGGGATCAATGATGACCTCGGTGTAAATGCGTCTAGTTGGCTGTGGCGGGATATAAGCGAACATTCCCGACTGGAAAGTCATCTTGGCTTCATTGCCCCTCGCCGTGATAACAAGTTTGGTAGGGACACATAATCTTAAAATAGCATTTTTTAATACTTTTCTTGATTGCACACCGAGAGTTTGTCAACTCCTTATTTTCACCAAATTTTCTTCCGATTTTAATTGGGCTATCTCTCAGGATATTACGGTAGTGACTGGGCGACACCGCTTGTCGTCCTGAAGGACGGTAGTCTCAGAGTGTATGCAGACTATACAGGAACGATAAACCTTGTCTTGTAAACGGACCGCTACTTGCTTTCCAGGCCAAAGGGCCTTTATTCTGCCATCGCTGGAGGCAAAGTGTTCTGTGTACTTGACCTCTCGGCGGCGTATCAGCAGGTGCCACTCACACAAGAGTCCCGACCATTTGACAGAACTACCGCTGCAGTCAAACTCTCCGCCTGACACAGTCGTGGGAACCGATCGTGCTGGACAGCCAAGGGCCTTGTACTTAGTCCAAGAAGCGTGGATACTCATAGTGCGCTTTCCGCTTCACCGAGAAAGCAAATTGTAGACTAGGGCATGCTGTCGAACTACCCTTTTATTCACGAACGAAGCGTTTATATATCGCTCACATAACGTCACGGTCACGGTCAAGCGACTCTTCCGCGATAACTACTGTACGCTATCAGCATGCTGCAACACAAGCAAGCCATTGAAAGCTGTGTGAACTTCATACAATTATTTTTGATATTGTCCCATGTTCGCATTTACGTTTACCACTTTATGAAACAAGACATCTCAAAGCGTCAGGCAGCTACATTGCTCCACAACATTTATAACGTCAACTAAATGGCGGGAAAGCATCACAGCAAGCTTGCTTTTTTTTTAACCGAACTGCAATAATTAGGCATAAGGAAGGTTGATACATACCTTGCTCTTTACCCCAGGCGTCGCTGGTGATGGCGAACGAGAAACTCAGAATTCAGCAGAGACCACTACATTTGATTTATCTGATGATTACTTAGGTAAGTTTTTTTGTTTCAAAGCGCAATAAACTATTTATTGAATGAGCTCACGAGTAATTTAAAAATTTACCTACATATGGTAAAAGCCATTGATGCCATATTATATTCTTTCCTGAATAATATTTTCGTTACAGCTACCATGTCCATCTCAGTTCTCATTGAGAAAAATTACATTTATATAAATCCTAGATTAGCCCGGCGACTACGGCATTATGTTTATTTATTTGTCTATACTGCCAGCATTTTTATATACAAGCCAAGGCAGAAAGTGCATACGACACAGATGACAAAAACAAAGCATACGAATGCAATACAGGCAATCTAATTGCCAAAGATATGTTTAAGTAGTGCGTCGTTAAAAATGGTCAGTGATTCTGATTTCAGAACACTTAGGGAGATTATTCAGATCACCTATTGCGTCGAAGAACGACAATTTAAACAATGTGCTTCTACACAATGAGTCGATAATTGTTAGTTCGTGTTTATTTCTTGTAGACCTAGCTAATTGCCGAATAATCGTCCAGGCAAAGTCGCAAATCACCATGAACAATATTTTAAAGAAACTTAATCCGATCTTTCTTTCTTCGTGTCACTAAACCACGCACTCCTGGCAGGTCATATAATTCGGATATTGAAGACATTAAACTGAAGCGAATGTACGCAAACCGTAATGCCTTGTTTTGCACAGCCTCCAGCACCATCATTCGTAAAATACTAAATTCATTACCCCCGACAAGCTTGGTTTCTGTTTTTGATGGCCTGTCATATAAGAGCAGTATTTTACGCTAATATATCCACCATTTAAAGGTATCTCAAATGAAATGACTATGTCACAACCTGATAATGTCGTCATATTTGACAAAATAGGTATTGACGAAAGAAATTACTTCATAAATAATAAGGCGTTTTAAAACTTGGGTATTTAATTATGAAGTCGCACAGATTTTATGTTAATGAGCTTGTGTCACCTAAATATAAGCAAGCATTCTTAATTTAATTTTAATTTTCATAAACTACGGAATTAGAAATTGGATATCATAAGTTTAGTTTCGGGTTTACCGCTTGAAGTAGAAATTAAGCAGGTGGGTGATTCCACGTCAGTGTATGCAATGATATGTTTGGGTCATATTCTTAATATTTCTAGAAAAAAAAAGTAGGCTATATCTTTGTGAGGAATATTACTGTATATATAAAAGCCGTAACTAATTTTTTTACAGAGATATATACTTGAGAATCTCGAGATGTGGAAAATGACAAGATATATTATTTTGTATTTAAATACCTTAAGAACCCTGAGTCAGGCTATTACAGAAGGGACTGGGTTAACAAAATAGCGAGGTTAACATTTGGCGGAACGAATCGTTGTCTTAAACAGAAACGATGGCATGGGACCGGCTGTTCCAATCCACAGATATCACCGGGGAAAAAAGATCTAAAGAATGCTGTATTTCGAGTGAAAGGAAGGCCAACTTTTGCATGGTGATCAATGCGGGGTGATATGCGATTAGGTGGCAAGATGAATGAATTGTGTAGATGATTATCGATGTAAATCCCGTGGAAAAATCATAATTTAGCGACGCGCCTGCGTCAAAAAAAGGGGGTTGGTGATAAAATTGGTTTAAGTTCAGTAACACTGCCAAGCCTAGAGTATTGCGACGTTATAAAGCAAACGATACGATTTTGCACGAATTCTAGGTCGGATACAAGATATTTAAGATGGGGGTCCCAGAGTGGCAATGCATATTCTAGTGTCGGACGTACCAATGTAGCAAATGTAAGTCGCTTCACAGATGAGGACGCGAGACGAAGATTACGGCGCAAGAGACCAAGAGGTCTGTTTGGGTCGGAAATTATAGTATCAATATGGATTTCGCAAGAAATATCGCGAGTAAAGGGAACACCAATATAATTGTAAGTCGACACCGAATCAATAATAAGATTACCAACAGAGTAGGAAGCGTGAAAATGTTGACGAGTTTGATAGGCAAAGAGGCATTGGGATTTTGATGTATTTAGGAGCACACTTTTAGAAAAGCCCGTGAGTCTGCTTTCCCGCACAACACTCGGAGAGCCTATCACCGCAACTTACGGAGGCAGCTCAGGGAATGGCAATGCCGAAACGTATGTTTAGACCAAAAAACGCTGTCTGAGTTGTGACATTATGCAATACAAGCGTGACGTTTTGCATTTCTTAATTTCACAACTCAGACTGCGTTTTTTGGTCCAAACATATGTTTCGGCATTGTCATTCGCTGAGCTGCCTCCGTAAGTTGCAGTGATTTCTCTCCGAGTGCTGTGCGTGAAAGTAGACGCACAAACATTTTTTAGAGTGCATCTACCACTTTGAACACTAATCGTTAATTCGGTTTAGATCAGCCTGTAGGTTAAGCAAATCATCTGTGCAAGCTATCGCTCTGTAGTCTACACAGTCATCAGCGAATAGACGAACATTGGAAGACAATGAAAGAGGGAGGTCATTAATATACACGAGAAAATGTAGGGGTCCAAGAACAGAATCTTGCGGTATACCACGAGTTACAGGAGCACTTCGGGAACGACAGTTGTTAATTTGCACATGTTGGCTTCGAGATGTGATTAATTCTAGCCAATCCAGGCTAGAATTAAAGAGTCAACAGACAGTGTGGACAGCTCTGCTAGTAGAAGTTTATAGGAAACGCGATTGAAAGCTCTAGAAAAATCGAGAAAAATTGCATCAACTTAAACAGTTTCTAGAGAAAAATGAATATCGTGGCAGAAAGGGGCAAGCTGTGTTTCGCATGAACGGTGTTTCCTAAAGCCATGTTGATTGGGAAAACTTATTCTGTTCCAGGAAACGCATAACTTGAAAATGAGCGACATGTTTTATGGCCTCACAGCATAGAGAAGTTAATAATATGGGCCGGTATTTTAGAGAGAAGTGCGCATCGCCACATTTGTGAACCAGAACGACCGTACCTTGTTTCCAGTCGTCGGTAAAATCAGCGGTATCTAAGGATTATTGAAATAATGATGTTAGAAAAAAGTTTATATCGGTTGAGTCATTTTCTATATTTTGCTGTTTATGTTGACAGCTCCTGGTGACGATGACGTTTTGAACGCGTCTATTATTTTGCTAGTACTGTTTTCCGAAAAAGTAATTGGATGCATAGGTGGCACGGACAGGACTGAAATATCTGGCGGCAATGTGATGGTAGTATTATTAAACACGGCAGAAAATGCGCCCAGGAACGTTTCAACAGCATCATCATCAGTAAGAGAAATTTCATTGCCATTTACTAAAGAGACTGATTTATGATAATAAGGATTAATTATGCTCCACAATTTCTGAGGGTTAGTTTTGAGGATAGCGGCAAGATTGTGGTGGTAGAATAGTGCTTTGGCTTTCTCGACGGCTGACTTGTACAGTGGGAAAGCAACATAAAAGCAGGACCACACGCCTGATTGGTGTTAAAAAGTCGTGCAGGTCGGTACAATCCTTTCTTCCAGTTACAGATCGACTTAAGGTCTCGAGTAAACACACGTTTATAGGGGGGGGGGGGGGGGGGGGGGGGGCGCGACTTACAGAAAGGTTTGACTTACAGACCAGAAAATACCGTATTCAATATCTCCCAATGTTGTTTTTTTTCTCTTAAGATGATCTAATACAGAGTCTGGGGCAGTGCACGTACGACTACATCGAATACAACGGAAGAAAGGTGAGTTTTTATTCTCGTTCTAGTGTCATTCCAGCCAAAATACGCGGTGCTTCATCAGACTGCGATATTCGTGTGCAGGCTGCGATAGGATGTACGGCCACCTGTGGACAAGCCGAAACTTCACCTCAAGCTCGTGATGATTCGGATGAGTCCGAAGAAAACACCCTCGAACTTTCAGATAAACTTTGCGTTGTAAGTATGCGAGTATAAATTGGACTACCTACTAATTACTCCTTGAAGTTTATCGCTTAAGATATAGTCGCTAGTTAGGCCGAACGCTTCTTCAGAAACATACACATTATGTTTTGTTTTGTTTTTTGTAAGAAGGATCTGACCTGTGCGCACTTTCGATTGTCTTTACAGTTGATGAGTATTAGACCGAAAAGATTAAAAAAATGTATTAATTAGCGGAGGTCCGTGGAATGTAAATATTACAAATAGTAACGAAATTGAGTATTAAACTCAAATAAAAACAGCATTGTTTTAACCCCTTGGCGACGTAGCACGCCGAAGTGCTAGGAAAATTCCCCTAAGAATAGCCAGTCGTCTTTGAAATTAATTCATGACCAACGTGCAAAATCAATACAGAATGATAACCGCCGTGCTCGTGCAGCCCTTGACGGTGTAGTATATTATATTCCAATTCAGGCTATTAAAATGGTCTCATTATTGAAAGTGGATTTGACCATCTCACCGTACCCCACGTCTGAAGTTCAATATTAGGCAATAAACCAATTGCGTTCCGCTAGAACGAAGCCAGGCTAATTGGCGCCGAAGATTTGCGAATTATTCTATACACAGCAAAGTCTAATGTGTTTTTAAGCGACAAAAAAAGTTGTATGTGACAACCAACGATCAGAAAATTAAGCACGGTGATATACCCATGCCTGAAACCAGGGTTCTGCGTTCTTGGTAATAAACATAAGCAAAACGTGATTTCTCAAACTAAGCTTTTGTCATCATTAAGAAAAAAAAGTGAGTTGATTGGGCGTTACTTAGAGATTGAATATTGCGTTTTTACAGCTTTCATGCTAACAATGTCACTTCCAATGTGTCGAAATACTGCTTCGACCTTTCGACTTGGAGCAAAGAAGTATTAATTAAACACACATAATTCTTGTACCGGTTTGCCATTCGGAGTTTCCGGCAATGTTACACTTTTTTGGGGCCTCACAGGTGCATGGCTTAAGGTTGTTTGTAGTATTTCTGCTAATTAAATTACACTCTCCCCGACTATGTCATATTCGTACTCTACGATTGCCCATAAAATACTTTCAAAATGCGTTCGCGCATCTCTTCCTCACAACTGACATGGCAAATTATTAACTTCGAGCTGCCGTGAAAGTTGAACGAGTGACGAGGCACAAATGGTTTGACTCATGAGCGAGATCGGAGCAAGCAAAACCTGATGGTCATTGCTCCTGTGATTACGCGCGTTCTATCCAAACCGTGTTTTCAAACTTTCGTCCTCTTATAGCCGCGTCCCACTAGAGCGACAGACAGCGACAAACGACAGCGACACACGACAACGAGCGACAGACGACACCGACAGACAGCCTGTTTGTCGAAGTCCGCCGTCCCACTTGGCGGACACGACGCAGAACACAGAGACAAGGAAACTTGTTTCCTAGTGGGACTGGAGTTGTCAACAAAACACTTCGAAATACACAGACAAACTGAGTCTGGCGACGCGGTTTTCCTGTTTTTCTCTTTGGGCATAAAACGCGCCGACAAACACGGTGTAAGAGGAGATGATTACTTTATTTCTTGATTAAAGCATTCACTTGTCTTCATTTGCCGTTGGCGACCTTCCGCAAACAGTCGTGACAATCGACACCAAGCTTTTTCCGAGTTAGAATAACCGAATCGTTCCTTTTTTGAGTCGTTCGAGGAATTCTAGGTGAGCGCCACGGAACTTCACGCCGATTTCGAGGATGTTTATAATCTCGTATCCGAATGATCAAGGGCAGGCGTTTTTTTTTGGAGGACAATAAGGCATCCCGATTATCACAGAACGTGATGACAAGTCTCTCGTCTGCCGGAATGGCTTGCCGCGGAACGTGGTGTCCTACTTCGTGTTGAGAGGTCTTACTTTGGTTAGTCCTCGAACATGAGTGGGTATCCATCCTGATGCAGGGCCGTAGACCTCGGCGTCTTGACGCACCACCTCACGCACCAAGTTTTCGCGAGCAAAACCAACCACAGCAAATTCCCCTTCGCAACCCGACCGCCCGGCGCAAGCAAGCAAGCCGCGCCCGCGACGAGCAATCGAGGGACCGGAACTGCGGGAACGAGGAGTGGCCGCCAAGGGCATTTCTGAAGGTCTAGCGGCGAAGCGAGCCACGGGAGGAACGGGAGGAAAGGTAGAAGGGTGGGAAGGAAGGCAACAGAAGGCACAGCCGGGCGAGGAGGATACGTTTGTCTCCGAGACATGTTCCTCAGTGGGACTGCTTGCTGCGTTTCAAGTCCAACGACAGACAAGGACTCGTCCGTCGTCGATCGTTTGTCGGCGCGTGTCGGCGATTGTCGCGGGCATTGGTCGTTGTAGTGGGACAGCATCGGCGACACGGAACTTTGTGGTGTCGTCGGACAAAAATCGGTGTTTGTCGCTCTAGTGGGACGAGGCTATTACACGGGAGTTCCGACTGCTTTGGGATACTACCCAAGCGACATCTTCTTTTGCGAGTTACCCGGGCATCACTCTTCCCGGCGCGCTATTTTGCATCTTGAAATGGAGTATAGCTTCTGAGCAGACCGTCGGCTGAATGAAATGTTAAAAACAACAGTTAAAGTCTTCAGCATTTTCCAGCAGTGTGAAGTTACTTGTTGAAAAACTTGCCAGTCCAGTAGACAGTCTAAACAAGAAAATATGTCAAACAATTCTTTTCTTGTTGTTCAGCGATAACTGGAGCGAGCCTCCACGTCAATAATTTCGCGCTATCAAATTTTATGTACTGTAAACGACTTAACTTTCGTGAGGACCTAATTTTTGCGAATTTCGCGAATTGCCTACAATTCGCGAAAAAAGGTCCCGCGAACAATTCCGGTAAGTTATAAACACATTGAAAGTTAAATCGAGATCCTACCGCGTCGCGAAAATTAGAACCCGCGAATTATTCCAAAACTTCAGCTTTGACCTGCATCGCGAAATATTGAGCCCGCTAAAAAAAGTTGTTTACAGTAATTCGGTGGGGACAAATTGTACTGCCTGAATAGCGAACCTGTAATAACCACATTAGTCATCACGTTCTTAATGTTGCCAGTAGAGACTTTCAGTTCGAAGTTTTCGCGAGTACCAAATATAAAAATAAAATAGCTTCGTAAAAACAGATTATTTTCACCTTTTAAACGGGTCACTTATTTCGGTTAGTATATTGGCGTTTTAAACCAATGTTGAGGCAAATAAACGATCGTAAAAAATTTACTGGACCGCCTCTTTAATGCGCACAGTATATTACTCTAATTGGCTCACAGCCTGTTCTTCGGAAAGATAGACGATCAGGTATGTTTCAGACATGTTCCATCCACAGGGTGTTTTAGAAAAAAAAAAAAAAATTAAGAGTGTAGCTTTAATTATTAGTGCTACTTTCAAAACAGAGTGAAAATGGGACGAAATTTCTAATTCCTGCCTAAAAAAAATTGCTTTTTATAGTCTTTTTTAAGTATTTGCGCAAGCTTATTTATGATTACATACATATTTGGCACTAAAATGATACATTATTGTGTGACATTCAATTTTTTTTTTTTGTTTTACTTTTGAAGCTCGTTACAGAAAAAACTACTTGCGAGAACGGATCGGTTATCCTAGAAGGCTACATGGGAACCTGCACGGATGGAGTATGCAACGCAAATCAAACGGGCCCTCCTATTACTATCCTTGGCAGTGAAGAGACCCAGAGCGTAGATTTCACTGGAGAAGAGGACGAACAAGAAAGTAAATAAAAGGAAGAAAAACAGCCACAAAAGTAAAAATTCTGAAGCAACTGGAGTAATGAATGCATATTTCTTTCATATCTGTTTCAAACAACATTATAATAACTGAAGCTCAGACGCTTAGTTCTCAAAATTGTTATACGGATAAGGAAACACTATCAAATCAAATATGTAGAGAGCGCCGTGACTACTTGACTTGCATAGCATTCGTGTTTTGGGTGAGGAGGAGGGGGGAAGAATTACTCATCTCTGGAAAGAATAGGCAAAATGGTCACTTTAGCCATGTTCTCTAGATGTCTTTTGCCTGTCAACGTTCTGTCATGCTAGACGCTTAGATGCCGCACTGCATGACTACATCCTGACTGTTCCTTCTCGCATTTCAACCATACTTTGGTACGTTTTGAAGGTTGCACAAGCAGAATTTAAAAGGGAAGGCCAAGACAGCCTGTTCCCCCACCCCTAAATCGGCAATTGAATATATACCGGACAGTTCTAAATCTAGCGCAAAAGCACGTAGCTGGAGTACGCCAGGCTGCATGGACTGTCACGCAGTGCGGCAGACCTTGAGCTCGGGGTTCGCTGCATTGTTTGTGCTTTCTCTAGCTCCTAGAAGCAATGAAGAAAGCCTACTAGCAGAGTTCGAGTATCCCTGCCTCCAGCTTCCTCACCTCGATCTCCCTCCAGAAACCCCATGATCAACAACCACGAAGTAAATAACGACGGGAGATTCTGCGGTGCTGATTTTGCCTAGTGGTGTGAGGAACACCTGAGCTTCGCGCGAAAATATTGCAACGATCGTCACCTTCAACGTAACACCCCACGACCTTTCAAATACATAGAAACTCGAGCTCTCACGCTCGATGAGTACCGGTAAAAGCTATCCAAGCGCTCGCACATCATTTCTCTAAATATTTAGTGTAAAATAATCTGTCCCTCGCTAACAGTGGCGAGGACAACAGCTCTTCCTTGTTGTTTCTCACAGCTAACACCAGAAAACAAGCCTGGCTCGGGTTGTTTTGATCATTCTGGAGGCACATCTATACGGCCGGAGCTGCTACGCAAAGGAGCGGACAGATCGCCGCTCACCGGCTGAACCATCGGCGCGTTCTTTTTTTTTTGTAGGTGTTGAAGGGAGGGGCACTTTTATCGACCGTCACAAATAATTACCCTGTTTAAGCTAACATTTTACTTGAAGAAGTGTGCCTTCGACCGTTTAAAAACATTTTTATCAACATACTTTTGTTCAAGAACAATAATCTATATGTAATATAATTCACTCGAGGGCAGCCAATGCGAACATAGGTGCCTTGAATCCGCACTGTATATATACCTCTAGGGCAGCCAATGTTGTTAGCGATGAAGGGTTGTGTTGTGCGTTATATATCTGTGCGGTTGTTACATATGCGATCATTGCTGTTGAGTGCATTGTGCGCGTAATGTGCATTTGCCATGATCTTCCGGTGCAAATGAATGGAAAGCATGAATGTGCATGCTGGGTATGTTGTAAAACCCCTGGAGTAAAGTATTATATTTTCTTGAAACTATCGAATTGGACGGTAACAGCGCCACCTCGAGTAATTTGCTCAAAGTGCTGGGTAATATTTTTATATCGAGTACTTTTAGAGTTTGCTTCCGCGCGCCCTCCGACCGTGGTGGCTGCAACTGCTTTCCTATTATCGTTCGACTGAAGTTCTAACTGGCTCTACAATGCTTCAGCCGATAGGACACCTTTTTTGGCGAGTTCTGGAGGATCCTTCGGTGCACCGTATCGGTATCGGCCCTAGAGCTCCGTATCCGTTCTGTAGGATTTGCCACGGAGGAATTCCGATATGAGAACGAGCACGGGTAAGTGACGTGAAAGTGACTGAACATCGTGGCTCGAAGGCATATTTTAGTTTTTTATTCACGACGCGAAATTGGGTTTGGGGCGCGAATTTCTTCATCTGCACGGGCACTCGGATTTGCCAATAAATCTCCGACGTGAAAAGCTCGTGTTCTGTGGTCATTTGGTGCTCATCGTACCCTGGAACCGGGAGGCACTCACTTGATCGAATGACGTTTTAGCGAACGCCCACGTTTCATCGAACGACACTTTAGCGAATAGTCGGACGCCGCGAAGCGGCGTTTTCGGGTGGGCCAAATGGGTTCACATTTTTGTAATGAGTTGCCGAAGACTGTCGCCGCGAAGCGGCGTAAAGCGCAGCGCGACGGATGGGTTAACGCGCGCCCCCGTTATTCGCTAAAACGACCATTCGCTCAAATGTCACCGTTCGCTAAAATGTCATTCGCTCTTGTGATATGGACCCCCTGGAACCATAGGCTGGATTTGTGTTGACTTTGTTGCTTCTATACGGTCAACACGGTGCTTTTCTGTCGAGCGTTGCCTAGCAAGCAGTGGCAGACCGCCAGTGAGCGGGAGACATTTGCCTGTCCGGTGACTATCGGAACTTTTTGCGTTACAGTGGAACTGGTGCAACGTCGATGGCGTTCCACCAGTTCCACCAGCCGCCATTTTGAACTGCGTCTCCGAATCGACTGAGGAAAAAAAATTTCCCATCCTTTTGAAGCGGCAAGGTTACTCTTTTTCTGAAAGAACATGTGTCAGACTCGTTCCTCCACTTAAGGAAGAATATGTTGACCCTTTTCTAAGAGTGTACGGCCGAGAAAACCCCGATTACTTTCTTTTTTTGTTCATTCAATCACACGTGCATTAGCTATTTTAATAAGTTCTACAAGACGGCTATCGAGCCGCTCGTGAAAGTTGCTACCGTCGGTTCAAAGTCAGTGCGCTGTACGTCGAGCTAAAGTTTTGGGGTGTATTATGTGAGACAAGGGGTGTAGGAATATTCCCTTTTAATAGTGTGTAGCGGAAGCAGAGAAATATATACAATATCCCGGTCAGAACGGCCACGTTAAGGGCCTTTAGAACGAGCGGAATGGGAGAATCGTCTCGCGATCTCGCGCTCATCGGCGAACGCTGGTTCGCCGACCCTTTAGAGCAGTTTGTTCTTAATGTTTTGAGCGTGCCCGTCTCACCGGGGTTTATAAGTTGACTGAACATTCAACAAGTCTTCGCAGGCTTTCCTGACAGGCGCGGACAACTGGCACCTTCACCAATCTATGCGCACTTAGACACACTCGTTCGAGGCTGGCAACGGGCACGAGACGCCACTATTGCATGGAAGAACCGATTATCAACAAGCCAGTAGATTGTCTTTGATGTTACTCGTTTACTTGGGAATATACGCAAGAAAAGTCGAGGAAAGACAATAGTGATTAAAATAAAGCTTGCATAAATATAGGTCGGTGGAGCCTCAACATTCGGCGTTAGTTCGCCTTTTTATTCTCCCGCCGAGGCTCAATAAGTTTAAATAAAGTGTTACTACTATCATCTGCTCACTTTGGTATCAAAGAGAAAAGAAGCAGAGCATTGAAGTTTCTATGACGCCGCTCCATCGCACATTCCAAAATACACAATCGTCATTCAAATCATTTTATTATCCCGATGAACGTGGGGTTGGCAAGAGGAAAGAATCAGCAGTATTTAATTAGGCGGACGGAATCAACTTTACCAGATCAAAGTCAGTCGACAAGCTTCGTTGAGCGCCTGGCGCCTCTTCGTGGCGCATCTGCCTGCTGGCGCTCGCCGCGCTATGAGCCGTCATGTGGACAGAGGTGGCGGAACCGGTGAACAGTTGGATGCGCATTGCCTGCGTTGAAAAGTGAAAGCTCAGCTACAGCTCTGTTCGACTCCAGGCAGTCGCAATTGAAAAGTGATTCAAGTGTGTCGTTTTTTTTTTGTTGCTGTGATAAACATAGAGTTTGCGTGAAAGTTTACGCTGAAAGAACATCGTTCAAAAACGGTCAGTCTCCGCTGTCTGCACGCGAGAAGGAACTGGCGAATAGCGTTCCTAAAGCCAGCTGCGTCAACGCTTCCGCGGGTACCGGAGAAGAATCGTTTTTGAACGACATTATTTTAGCGTATACCTTTGCGCAAACTTTGTGTTTACCGTAAAAGGCAAATAAAACACACACTCACACACACACTAGACTCACTTTTTAACGCGGGCAATATGCATCCAAAGTTTCGCCGGATCTATCGGTTGACGAGCTCCACTTTTCCGTGGAGCTTGTCAACTGATAGATTTAAGAACAAATAAGGGTGGCGATGTGGGTTAGTTGGTTCATACTGACGAAAAGGCAAAGAACGCACAGTAAACGGGGACTAAATGAAGTGCAAACAGGACAAGCGCTGTGTCCTGTTTGACTTCCTTTAGTCCCCGTTTACTGTGCGCTGTTTGCCTTTTCGTCGATTTAAGAACGTTCGGTGGAACCTCATAACGTTAGCAATGGCTGAAACACTGCGAAAAACTAATTCACGAGTGTGTGGCGCGCCGTCGTGCCTGTTCAGTTGTAGAGCGCAGCTCTTAGGCGCCCGTCTCCAGGTTGAGCGGCGTCGGCGTCGCCTTCGCCGGCACCGCGACCCCCCCCCCCCCTCTCCCCCCCCCCCCCCCCCCAAGGAATTCGGAGGGACCTCGGGAGGACCTCGGGAGGACCTCGGGTTCCTTCGGGAAGACCTCGGGAGGACCTCGGGTACCTTCCGTGGTCTCGGGGAGGGGGGGGGGGGGGGTCACGTGACCCCCCTCCCCGAGGTCACGTGAGCCCCCCCCCCCCCCCCCCCCCGAGGTCTCGTGAACCCCCTCCCCGATGTCACGTGACCCCCTCCTTGAGGTCACGTGAACCCTCCGTACCATTCCCTCCACCTCCTCAAGAGCTCGGCTCTAATTCGGCGTTACAGGGAGTTGTAAACGGCTTTCACTTTTTTTTCCTAGTTCTTTAACGCTGGTGTGTGTCAACGTAAGAATTACAGGAGAGGCTTAGCCTACAAATTTTCCCAGAGCAGCGGTGTTACTATGGCACTCTGTAAAAACTCAACATTTTTCAAGCGCCACAAAAACAAAGGATCATTCGTAAGCGCCCTATTTCTTAAGCTCGAGTTCAAGAAAAAC